CAGGCTCAACAAGCCGCTATTGCTCAGCTATAAAATCAACATAGAACTCCGAGTGGGGTTGAGCCAGAAATCACTCGTTGTACCGAGCCAGTGCCAGAAGGTCAAATGGTAACGGATCGGGGACCGATCCTGCAATAATGAAAATCCTCGAGGAGCTCACTAAGAGAATCGAGTCAGGAGAGATGAAAATCGAAGCTAATGATGAAAAAGTGGAGACATACAACTCTCGAGTTAATCAGATACAAGGGGCACCGCCAATCTTGAAAGGGATGGATTCGAAGAAGTTTGTACAAAACGCGTTTCCTCCTAGTGCGGCTCTGAAGCCTATTCCAAAGAAGTTTCGTATGCCAGACATACCCAAATATAATGGGACCACTGATCCCAACGAGCATGTTACTTCATATACATGCGCTATCAAGGGTAATGATTTAGAAGATGATGAAATCGAATCTATGCTATTGAAAAAGTTCGGAGAGACCCTTTCGAAGGGAGCAATGATTTGGTATCACAACCTGCCACCAAATTCCATCGACTCATTTGCCATGTTAGCAGATTCTATCGTAAAGGCACACGTCGGGGCCATAAAGGTCGCAACAAGAAAATCGAACCTTTTCAAGGTAAGATAAAGGGATAACAAAATGCTGAGGGAGTTCGTATCCCGGTTTCAAATGGAAAGCATGGAGTTGCCACCGGTCACAAATGATTGGGCAGTTGAAGCTTTCACCCAAGGGTTGAACGAGCGGAGTACGACAGCATCACGTCAGTTGAAATAAAATTTGATCGAGTATCCAGCTGTAACTTGGGCAGATATGCACAATCAATATCAATCAAAGATCAGGGTCGAGGACGACCAATTGGGAGCCCCTTCCAGATCAGTACATCCAAACAGGTCGGCAGTTAAAACCCAGAGGGACGTCGATAGGGAGCCAAGGTCAAACAGAGAACGATATCAACCATATGCCGCAGATCGAAGGAATAATGGTTCAAGACGCAATTCCGCCCGGAATGATCGAAGAACTGATCGAGGACAAAATTCTCGGGGACTTATGAGCAAAAGTGGTTTTGATAAGTATGCCAATCCCACGGAGGCACCTCGGTTATTGGAATATAACTTTAGCATCGATGCATCGGGCATTGTAATGGCAATTGGAAGAATCAAAGATACTAGGTGGCCCAGACCCATACAGACCGATCCTTCTCAAAGAAACCCAAATTTGATGTACAAGTATCATGGCACGCATGGTCACAGGACCGAAGATTGCAAGCAATTAAGGGAGGAGGTAGCCCGTCTATTCAATGAGGGCCATCTTGGAGAGTTCCTCAGCGATCGGGCCAAGAACCATTTCAGAGAAAGGGACGCCAACAGGAAAAATGAACAAGAGGAACCCCAACATGTCATTCACGTGATCGTCGGTGGGGTCGACATTCCACAGGGACCCATATTCGAACGCACTAAGGTATAAATCACTAGGGAAAAACGAACCCGAGATTATATGTCTGAAGGCTCCTTATCATTCAACGACGAAGAAGAAGAAGGCATTTCTCAGCCCCACAACGACGCTCTGGTAATTTCTATCTTATTAAATAAAGTTCAAGTTAAGCGTGTTTTAGTGGATCCAGGTAGCTCGGCGAATATCATCTGATCGAGGGTCGTGGAGCAGCTCGGCCTAAAAGATCAAATCGTGCCCGCAGCTCGGGTCTTAAACGGCTTCAATATGGCCAGTGAAACAACTAAAGGGGAGATTATTCTACCGGTGAACGTGGCCGGAACCATTCAAGATGACAAGTTCCACGTGATCGAGGGCGACATGAGGTACAATGCCCTACTCGGAAGGCCTTGGATCCACAATATGAGGGCAGTCCCTTCGACTTTCCACCAAATGATGAAATTCCCGACGTCGGACAGTGTAAAAATAGTATATGGGGAGCAGCATGCTACAAAGCAAATGTTTGCGATTGATGAGGTAACGCTGATATCGACGTTATCAACCTCGGAAACATCGAGCATCAAAGATAAACAGGAAGCTAAATAGCAATCACAGCCACCAGTCTTGACCGAATCGGGGAAGCAGGAGACAGAAGAAGAGGAGGAGGATTTTCTAACCCCTCGAACTTTTATTGTTCCCGAAGATTCTGACGCCACTAAATCAACGGTCGAAGAGCTCGAACAGGTTGTATTGATCGAGTACCTGCCCGAGCGAAAGGTATACCTGCGAACGGGATTAACCTCCGAACTCAGGAAAAAGCTTATTCAATTTCTTATTGATAACATATATTGTTTTGCTTGATCCCATTTAGACATGACAGGGATCCCACCGGAGATAACGACGCATCGGCTAAGCCTTGACCACATATTCAAACCGGTGAAGCAAAATAGAAGACCCCATTCCGAGGTAAAACACGCATTGATAAAGGACGAGGTAACTAAACTTCTCAAAATAGGGTCCATTCGGGAGGTAAAATATCCCGAATGGTTATCCAATGTAGTCGTAGTCCCTAAAAAAGGCAACAAAATATGTAGATTATACAGATTTAAACAAGACATGGCCCAAAGATTCTTTTCCACTGCCTAACATCAATCGCATGATCGACGCCACGGCTGGCCATGAGATCCTTACCTTTCTCGATGCCTATTCCGGGTACAATCAAATTCATATGAACCTAGAAGACCAAGAAAAGACTTCCTTTATCACCAAGTATGGAATATATTGTTATAATGTAATGCCCTTCGGGCTAAAAAATGCAGTAGCTACTTACCATCGAAGGACAAATAGGTAAGTCAAAGGAAGTTTATATCGATGACATGCTAGTTAAGTCCCTGCGCGCAGGGACCATTTGGCTCATTTGCAGGAAACATTCGAGATTTTAAGTAAATATAACATGAAGCTCAACCCTGAGAAATGTGCTTTCGGGGTCGGTTTGGGAAAAATTCCTGGGCTTCATGGTGTCGAATCGGGGGATCGAGATCAACCCCGATAAAATCAAGGCCATCGAAGGCATCACCGTCGTGGACAATGCAAAAGCCGTGCAGAGGCTGACTGGACCGATAGCTGCTTTAGGCCGATTCATCTCGAGGTCATCGGATCGAAGCCACAGATTTTTCTCTCTACTCATAAAGAAGAACGAGAAAACCTGGACTCCGGAATGCCAACGTGCATTAGAGGAATTAAAGAGATACCTATCGAGCCCACCATTACTTTACACTCCAAAGGCAGATGAGAAACTTTACTTGTACTTGGCAGTATCGGAAATCGCGGTAAGTGGTGTCCTAGTTCGAGAAGAGCAAGGTACGCAATTTTCCGTTTATTATGTAAGTCGAACCTTAGGAGAAGCAGAAACTAGATATCCACACTTAGAGAAATTGGCACTTACACTAATAAGCGCCTCTAGAAAGTTAAAATCATACTTTCAGTGTCACCCCATATGCGTGTTAACCACTTACCCACTTCGTAATATTTTGCACAAGCCTGAACTATCGGTCCGATTGGCCAAATGGGTCGTTGAACTCAGTGGGTACGATATCAAGTATCAACCCCGACAGCCATCAAATCTCAAATTTTGGCGGACTTCGTGGCCGATTTCACGCCAACCCTCGTACCCGAAGTTGAAAAAGAACTCTTGTTAAAATCAGGCACATCATCGGGGGTATGGACCCTTTTCACAGACGGTGCTTCGAATGTGAAGGGGTCCGGGCTAGGCATCGTTTTTAATCCGCCCACAGATAGCACTATTAGGCAGTCTATCAAAACTTCTAGGTTGTCTAACAATGAGGCCGTGTACGAGGACATGATTGCAGGTCTCGAGCTAGCTAAAAGCTTGGGAGCAGAAGTCATTGAAGCCAAGTGTGACTCTTTACTGGTAGTGAACCAAGTAAACAAAACCTTCGAAGTTCGAGAGGATAAAATGCAAAGGTATTTGGACAAGCTGCAGGTAACTTTGCACTGTTTCAAGGAATGGACTTTACAACATGTACCTCCAGAACAAAACAGTGAGGCCGATGCACTTGCAAATATGGGGTAATCAGTCGAGGAAAATGAGATCAGCTCGGGGACTGCGTTCAACTCTCGAGATCTGTGCTCGAGGAAGGTCATGCCGAGATAAACTCTACAAGCTTAACCTGAGATTTGAGGAATAAATATATTGAATACTTGAAGAACGGAATTAAAATAAACAACTTGTTCTTTGTCGCATGCACGGTCATCTGATAAAAATGCTTCCTAATCTAAATTCTAGTCCAGAAGAATAAAGAACAAAACACCATATCAGCTCTTAGATATATATTCATATTATTTGTACTTAATCTGTCCAAAGAAATTAAAATTATTCCTTATTGTCCAAGTTTTCTCTTCCCTTATTCTTTTCTTCTCTTTATCAAGCCTGTCCATCTTTTTCAAAGAAAGCAAGCTAGAGTATAAAATTCCCTTCAACGTTATAATGATGATGGTCTTTCTTGGTAAGTACCAAAAGATGCTATAACGGTACCTTACAAAAGTAACTACAAGACATCAATGACTGCCAATAATCGCTGGATAAGAGCATTGATGCTAACGTTGAAAAAAAGTTTTGATTCTTTAAGGTAATCAAAGCCTGAAACTTCTAATTAGATTCTATATAAGCTTTTCTTTTTCCTTAGTACATTTTATTATATTTTACTATTTGGATCACATGGACGCATTAGGCATATAACTGGAGTATATATAATATAAAGTCAGCAACCTTTTAGTGCTGCTTAATTAGGGTATCTTCACAGATTTCCGATGTTAATGACGAGCTTAATTCGTGTAGAGCTAATGACGAGCTTAGTTCTATTGTTTAATATTTTTCTCCTAACAATGGTGTTTGGACTTGTTTACGTACATCTAGACTATTCCATTTAATACCTACTGCATCCCATTAGCACATATATCAAGTAAATGTACTCACTAATTATTAGAGACCCTTTATAGAGAGTGAACATTATAAAGACCATGAAATTTAATTTTTATTTCTAAGATCGAATTTCCAAGTGAGAAGTGTAGCCAGTTGGTACAGTATTTTCACTACGTCAAAAAGAGAGACTAGTAGTATGTTTTGTGCCATCATTCTTTTTGAGGGGAAGGAACTGCTTATAATAAAGAAGTGGACCTTAACTATCTAGATGGAAACGATACTTCTCGTAAATAATAATACATAAACTATTTTAGTTACTTAATAAACAAATGGCTGAACATCAGCTCATGAAACGTTCGACTGACATTCCTCCATGATCATAGGAGCTACCTATATAAGGTATATACATAAGATTTGTGATAGCCTCTTCTAACCAATTCTCTTCATACTGATCAGGATGTTTCATCTGCAAATACAATAAACAGAAACGAATCATGAGACTCGTAAAAAACATTTAGGCAGAGAAGACAAAGATCGATCGTTAAGTAAATACTCTCTATGTTTCAATTTATGTGACATAGTTTGACTGGACACTTAGTTTAAAAAACGCTTTTAATACTTACGGTAAAGCTTAAAGGGTAACAACTTTAATTTTATGTAACTTTCGATTTGTATGGCTATAAAATTGGTAAAATAAAAAGTTTAGTTAAATTGTTTCAAAATGTGTTATTTTTTTTAGAACAGACTAATAAAGAAAATGACTCACATAAATCAAAAACGCATAAATTTAAACTAACCTGGAACGGATTATCATAGCGTATATCCTTGGCTCCAGGGCAATTATCATTAATCCCTTTCTCATCATCGCATACTTCATTATTCTTAGCAAATCTTCCACGAACTCGAACACGTTTATCGGCTAGGGTTTTGCGACAAGCATACTGCATGCCCGGATTTAACGTAATTAATGTTCAGAAAAAGTAGCAGTAGATTGAACTAATCATATGTAAAACTTTATATAAACACCTGATTAATTAACACATGCATATATAAAAAGAAAGAGATGTAGAAACCTTAATAGTTTTGTTGAAGTTCCTTTGATTTCTTTTCTTAAGATATCGAAGAATTCTGTCCTTCCTCTCCTCTTCTGAATACCTTCCGATCTTCATTGCTGGCGTTTCTTTGGCTTTTGGGCTTGTCTCCCTTTGAGGCCCCTGACAACAACAATTTACAAATCTGTCTGATTCTCTCAGCTGAAATTTAAAGTATTTTCTTTGTTTTGTTAACTTTCCATGCACAAAATATTAGACTAGCTAGGTAATTTGTGTGTGATCTATGAGAAATATGTTCAAGGCATATGATCAAGTAGATAAAGTTATGCTTGCTTTAATAGCTTAAACTTTTAAATGAGTTGGCGGTCGCATTCACACAATTTAACATGCAGGTTTTCGTACAGAGTGAGAATCTTGATTTCGAGTCTCACTGCCATTCAATCAGAGGCGGAGCTATAGTGCCCTGTAGTTTTGGTTCGAACCCTGCATTTGTCTTAAAAATTTCATTGAACATGTACAAATTATTAAGTTAGAACCCAGTAACTTAAAACGATTAGAATCCTGAACCCATAAGCTTGAAATCCTGGCTCCGCCTCTGCATTCAATTAAATAAATTCACGTATGTTGTCTCATTAAAAAATCAAGCCTAGGTTTTGAAAACATAATAAAAATATGCTCTTTAGCTTTAAGTTTTTGGATGATGAGTTGACAACAAAATAAAATACAGGAAGCAAACGATGACGTCCGGAAATGTACCCAATTATTGGAGGTAGCGACAGGACAACGGGACCAGAAGCTGGAGTGATGATCCAAACCAGTAGTTTCGTCCCAGCAAGATTCACAAGCCTCATGCTGGTCGGCTACATAAACGTGATGAGTAGTATTATTCAAAGAATACTCGCTGGAAAACGTATCGGAAGAGGAGGCCGGCGCCGGTAGTAGAGCCGGCACGGTCATGTCTGAAACTACGCCAAGTCGTTCAGGGAACCATGGCATCATCAATGAATTTGAAATTGATGGAGGGACATAATGATCAGGCAGTGAATTAATATTGAGTAACTGCGCCTCAATATTATTATCATAAAGTACTGATGAGGGGGTTACTTGGGTATTGCATATTTGTAAGGCGCTAACGCCTTCGCCTGCAGGGAAAGAAGAGTTGAATTCATTGGAAAAGAAGTGGCCATAGTATTGAGGAGTGAAAGCCATTCAAGAAATTTGGTATGCTAATAATAAGCCTTTTATTTAGTGAATGTCAGTCAATTTTGGCTTGGTTTGTCGATATGGATTTTGTGCCCTTAACTATTTATAGCTACTAAAGCTTTTACGCAACTTGCTCTAGCTGTATTCTCTATATGTTTCTTGTCTCTTACCTTTTCCTTTTTTCCCCATTTCCAGTTTTATTTTGTTTGTTGCTGATTGTTTACCCTAAAACCGGATAACAATTGAATTTATTCGCGATTTTAAGGATACGTAATTTCACTTAGTACAAATTAAGAAGAATATATTAATATTGAAATTAACGATGAATGAATAAATGCAAACCACACAAATTGAACAGCCTAGGCACTCGAATTCAGTCACCCTTGAACCAAAAGATGTTTCAACTGACTTATGAACAGAGTAACAAGATAATGAAAGCTAGAAAATGACAGTATATTGCTTTGTATTGCGTAACAATCATGTTTTTTACAAATAATCAGACCCCCTTTATATAGTAGGGGAGTCCTACTCTTGGTACAGTTCTATATGAGGTAAGAAATCTCATGATTAGCTAATTAATCGGCCTCTTCTTGATACATGCCGGGATTTCCGCCATGATTCTTGCCCGATTGCGGATATTTCGGCTTTCCGTTATTTGGCTCGGTAGGTTTCCCTCGATCTTGTTCGATCTATATTTTGCTTGGTCTCGATCTTGGCCGATCTCGATCTTGATCGGTCCCTGGGTCACGAGCTCGGTGATCTATCTTTACACTATGGTTCGATATAACACGAGATCGAACCTTGACCTAACATATTTCGATCTCGATTAGTCATACAAAGGGCGAGCCCGGTTTTGACCGTATACACTGATAATATATACCATTGAGCTTGACATCTGAGTACTGTGAATTATGATAATCAACTTTTTTCCATTTATATTCTATGATTTGTTGTGAAATACACATTAAGTCTTTGAAAGCGAAATAAACTTTCACCACAAAAAGCGAAATACTTTCTCATTTGCTTCCTCGCACAAATTTTGTAAAAAGTTCATTCACATTCTATAATCTACTGGTCTAGTCTAATTACTAACCTACAAATTGTCACTTAAATTGCTTTCTAATACGGCTTCTAATTAAAATATTCATGCCATGATTCTAATTCATGCGTTCAATTATGGTGAGGAGGTTCAATATACTTCTTCCGTTCTAATTCTGTGATATAGTTTGAATTGAAATACCTAATATTAATACTCCGTTGTATTACTTATGAAGAGTCATTATTACAAATAGAATTAAGTTAATGTTGAAGCACTATAGTTACCCATTATGGGCCAAAATATTACAGGTAAGTAAAATATATTGCTACAGTTTAATGCACATAGTGGGGTAGCCTTTTACCAAAGGGAGAAAAGAAGAAGATTCTTCTCTTCTCTGCGAAATTTTCCATTTTCTCTCCAATTTTATGCTATTTATTAACGCACATATAGTGCGCAAGAAATACACACAATTCTTAACGGAAACTTTATTAGAACAGTACAAAGGCCTTAAATTAAAGGAGAAGTGTCGTTGATAGCATGGGAAATCATAAGAGTCATTTCTAAATCAGTTGCTTATTTCACAAAAAAAGTGAATAAGCTTTCAGATGAGGGGTAAATGTCAACTTTAATGTCCAAACTTAAAAGGAAAAATAATTAAAACAGGAAAAGAAAGAGTGTTTTATAAATAGTAAAATTTTCTTGATGTTTGAAGCATGTAGGCAAACAGGGATTCAAGATTTAAAGTTAATGGGTTCCTATAGCAATCTCAAGTTATAGTGCATATAATAATAATTGGGTTCTTAGTCAAGTATTTATGTAGTCTTAACACATGTACAGGGTTTGAACAAATATTTCTGTAGATTTCTTAATATATATCTCCATAAATTTCTTATTACTTATACAATCAAGTATATTTTTCTTAATATAGATCCAAATTTTGAAGTTTATGTAGATTTCCTAACACATATATTGAATCTTAGCAGAAGCTACTAGGTTCACATGTACCATAGTAGACAGTGTTGATCCGCCCCTGGATCAGGGGCGGAGCTAGCCCATGAGTTACGGGTTCGGCAGAACCCAGTAGCTTTAGTCCAAACTCTGTATTTGTTTTATGAAATTCATTGAATATGTACTAATTATTGATTTAGAACCCAGTAACTTAAAAGGATTAGAACTCCGAACCCATAACCTTCAAATCTTGACTCCGCCTCTGCCCTGGATGTAGGTATAATTTTAGAAGCGTCACATTAAAAGGTTTGAGTTAAGCAACATATATAAGCTGCATAAAAATTCCATTAAGGTATCAATTTGTTAATAGTGCATGCAAAAAGTGGTCAAGATAGAAAAAAAGAAGATAAAACAAAGCAATGCAAGCGGGTTGCTAGGGCGAATGTGTTAATGAAAGTGATCGAACAGAAAAATATATACTCCTACTACTTAAGTCTTGAAAAGGAATCCTTGTGGCAACTCAAACAACAGAAAGGTGAAGACCAAAAGAGAGGGCCTCATGTGGTTACTATTCTGATGCTATTGAAAAGCTTAGCACTAATTTGCTTCCAACTAGTGAAGATCTGACCTATTGTATAGCCTTAGAATCTAACACATGGGTCTAGCCCAAGATTTATCAACGTACAATATATACCTATCATGCACAAAGTTCTTTTATATATGCCCATCTTTTGATTTTGGATATCATTTAGTACTGTGCATATCTTCACTTTGGTGTTTATTTCCTCTTTTTACATACATAGGAGCATTCGTTCACGTTAACCAAACCATAAACTAAACTGCATGGTATTAGACTTAAGTCATGCATGTCTATATATGTGCTATCAAATTAAAAAGCAGTGTGGTGCACGAGGCATACCGCGTTCATGCATAGTCTAGGAAAGGACCGCTCTTCAAGAGATATATAATCTAACCTTATGCAAGCATGGCTGATTCAGAATTAGGATAATTAAGTATATCTCTTTTTGCTAACTCTACACATGAACAAGATCAGAGAGACTATCAACACCTTCAATATCCAGATTAGCCATTGCTATAGAGAGGCCAATCAATTAGCGGACTGCTTGGCTAAAATGGCAGTTAACACTCAACAGCTAGCTTACTTCTACTCTAACCAACAGCTGCCTAGTCAGGCAAAAGGCCCTTTTTTGCTAGACAAAGATCAGGTTCCTTCCATATGGAACAGATATGACAAGGCCAATATTTTTGTTAGCTAGTTTTGTAATCTTTGTGAGGAGGCGAACTATTTATAATCGCCTATGCCTCAATTTTTTTGAAGGGCTTTCTCTACCCTTGTGTTGTATCATCAAACTTTATTTTTGCTAATACAACACCGCCAGGCAATCTGGGAAACATTTAAAAAAAAAAACTCTACACATGAACACTCCTAAAACGAAGTGGATCCCAAATTTTAAGTCACTAGATGTGGATTACCAGCGTAAGGAAACAATTGTCATAATGTAAGGGTGTAATACTCAATAGTTAAAGGTGGAAACAACAACACGTGTATGTAATTTTAGAAAGAATCAAATGGATATAAGAATCTGTTCTGAATACTAAAAAGGAGAAAACAAAATAAAACGGCAAGAGAGGAAAAATATTATCTTTCATTACCAGGCTATTTGCCGCAAAAAGCATGCAGTAAAAAATTCCGATACCAAAAGTGAAAAGCGCCAAGTATCAGGTGCTAGGATTTCAGGGCTTGCTATCCTTTGGAAAAGAAGACACTCTCAAGAACAAGTTGGAAGTTGGGGCCAGTACTTATGCTCCAAATTGCCTAGCCATATATATGCTTTGTAAGTAAATCCATTCTGATGTAAACATTTTACTATTCATTAATCATGTATACATGTACTACAAACAAGTGCCATTCGATCTAGCACAAGTATTTGATCCCTTTCGATTTGACTCTTTGACTAGTTCTTGTTCCTTCTAGCCTTTCTCTTTACAGCTACTATTGATCTCGTAGAAAAATTCACTGCTTGTTCATGGAATACATGTTTTTATTCCTTTCTTTCTTTGAACAAGAAAAAGGAAGAAATCTTGTTAAATGAGAGTATAAGATAGCTGCAGATTTTGGTTCACTTTTTTCTGCTTTAATAAAGTTTAATCCATTGATTTAACAGCGATCCTAAAAGAGTGCCACCTTTCTTTTGGTGGAGACACGATCAACAAATATCGTACAGCAGTATTCTTGTTTAACAGAGCACTAGCTTTTGTTTTCCCTAGCTAAGCAATCTTGAGAATCTGAGATCCTTTGGTTCGTCGATTTGTCCAGACTTTGATGTACATGTATCCAATTCTTTGCACGCTATTATCAAGGCATGACTATCTTGTCAAAAGTAGTGATCAACTGCTTTACCAGTCCACATGCAAATGCTACCTTTTTCATTCAACACCAATACAATCCAAATGGTATTGACAAAGTAGGTCTGATATAAGTTGTATCCCAGCGAGGAATACTCAATTCCCAGGACATATGAACTTAAAACTATTTAGATTCACTAGCTCTTGCGCTTGGGATTGTATTAATCTTTTAACTTCAATTGGGGGGGAGTGTCATATTCATTCCGACGAACAAGAGAAAAACACAAATTTGAGAAATACCAATGTACGATACAAGGTTCAAAGATATGACCATACATTCCTGCAATTCAATTACATACTTCCAAACAGAGTGTGGAATTAAATTCGTAGAGTAGATACAACTACAACATCAGAGTTTTGACTGCTAGTTCTGAATGCTAAAAATCAATAGTACCCTCCAATTTACATATTAATGACCGCATGATTTCAGTTGTGTCAATACTGCAGATACGTTTCTTCTATCCATGTGCAAATGAAAGAAAGAGGATCAACGCAAGGAAACCCACCTCAATATTGATTCAACCATCTGCTGGCACCACTCAATCCTCTCACCACACGTGATGGTAAAAATCTAAAATGAAAAAACTTAAGTGGAGGAGAAAAACAAAAACGGGAATAATTTACAGCATGCACCCATGAGCTAGTGAGAAGTCAAACTTGAGAGCATTGACTCATAGTCTAGCATAATCTACAACAATCCGAATTCTTTGTACTTCCAGAAGGTTTAAAGCTCGAAAGATTTCTCAGTTGATGATTGACGATCTGTACCTCAAGTTAGAGCACAGCTCCACGAGTTCCACATGCCCACCGGTCAACTTTAGACACACAAAACAACAGCCACTAAGCTAAGACCTCTGTTAAAGTTTGAGCTACCATAATATGGGAAATCATATATACCCCAGATTTTCCGTACTTTCAACGAACACCGCGGTTAAGCATCCCTTGGAATGATAGATAGAGATCTTTGTTATCTGTCCCGAAAATCTCTTCTGCTTTTTTCAAAGTTTCCTGGAATATTATAATGGACAAAAAGGAAAAGCAGAAAAGCATTTAGATATTGAACAAAACTACAAGGTAATACAGGATATTCTACCATAACTAAGATTATATTATTCACCTCGCGAGATTGCTTTTGAGCATTTAATTCCTTTATGTTAGCTAGAAATGCACTGAACTGCTCATAAGACAGACGACTCCTGAATCAACAATATGCAGATCATCAGGTGAAAGATTTTACTCAATAAATTCAAACAGAACAAAAGTTAATAACGAAAAATAGATACCTGGCGTGACGGAAGAACTCCTTCCCATCAACTCGAGGAGTTTGAGCTGACAATTCACACATGCACTAATCAGTACCACAATGATTTATTCGAATGAATATGATATTAGCAAATAATAAGGCAGCCGAATATGTTGCCACGTGTGTATAGAATCATTCTTAAATGTAAGTGAACTTGTGAATGTAATAAAAACATTGGTTGCAACACACGTCTGCATCTCATGCAAAGAAAAGTTCCCTTGTATGTGTGACGACAGAAGTGCACAGCTGAAGCAGTAACATTAGCAGAGCTCACGAACCTGGTTTTGCACGTGCCCTTGGAGGAGAGTTAGCTGCTGAGGACTGTTGACTCGAAGGATAGAACGATGACACTGAACCTCGGCTTTGAAATTGAGGGTTTGTTGGAGTGCTGCTGCCAGACGTCCTCTGAGGAGATACAGCAGCAGAAAATCTTCTGGGGGATACACTAGCAGAAGTTGTTTTTGGTGTGTCAGTAGGAGTAAGCCGTGGTGTTATGTAAGGGATGGAAAATCTTTGCACAGCTTGCTTTGAGGCTGGATACAAAAAGAAAAATATGAATAGAAATTAGATAGCTTTTGCTACATTCTAAAATTATCTTGTAAAAAAAGCGTAGAGTCAAATACCATCATCGTAACTGCCTCTGCCATCCATAGACCCACTGAAAGAATGATGCATTGTGTAGCCATTCACCTCCTCTGCAAATAGAATTATCAAGATTAAATTCAATACATCAGGTCTCCGAGCTTGAAGAAGCAACTCAGATAATATCTTGAACATGAAAAGCAAACAAAATCAAGGACAAATTAATAAAGGCAATGCTAAAGTTACCTATTACAGGATATGACTTGTGAACAGATTGATCGTAAGTGCCAATATCAACAGTTTCAGCTTGCTGCCAAGATAGAAAAAGGATCGCCATAGTCAATAAAGAAGAGAGGATAATTCTTAAAGGGAAATAGATGTTCTAAAAGGAAAAGATTGTGCCTCAAGTTTTTGTACAGTCTACATATCAATTGGAAATCACACTCATTCCTGTTAGGAATTTTAACGATTATACCCATAATAATTTTTGGAGGATTCCTACTTTTTGGTTTACTTCTAGTATACGAGCGTTTTTATGCCCAAACATTTTAAAATATTATTTACCTTATAAAAAATGGTTATACCCAAAAGTTCTTATTGAAAATTCTTGTTACCCTCTCAATAATATAAAGAAATGTCCAAAAACTAGAAGATTATGTAATCTTACAGATGAGTCATCATCACTCAAAGACTGCACCAATTGCCTCTTAAAGGTCTCCAACTGTTGAAAGAAAGAAAAGTAAGTTTATGCAGCTGCAATGGAATTAACAGATAAATAGTGCCCAGGAATTTCCACATTCATTATTCAATCCTTAAAGGGAAGATAGGAACACTACCGCAATACCAGGAGCAAAGGACTGTAAAGGAACTAAAAGCATATAAAGCAGAAAAGCAATTACAAAGCAGAAATTAGGGAGCGAACATGCTCCAATTAAGAGTAATATGTATGACTTATTAGGGAAACACTTATCACAGTCGCTTGCAGTAGTTAGCCAGGGGCGGCCCTACCCTAAAGCAAGTAAGCAACTGCTTTAGGCCCCACATTTGTAGGGGCCCCATTATATACCTTCTGTGTTTCAATTTAGATGAGGTTGTTTGACTTGTTACGAAGTTTAAGAAAGAAAAACAATTTAAAATTTGTGGTCTTAAAAGCTTAAGGGGTAAAAGAATTTGCAACCGGTATGATTTCTGTCAAGGAAATTGCATCTGAATGAAAATCAAACCGAACTTCGTAAGTAACGTTTGATATATGAAAAAAATAATTTGACGAGAATACTGATATTGAAATCTCAAAATCTCTCGAAGAGTCCTTCAGAGTTAACTGCTATTTATACATAGTAGATAAGACTATTTTTTCACTTCAAAATAGATTTGAACAATTCGAATCATATTAAAATATTTTCTGTTTTCTATTTAGCGTAAAAAACTGAGATCACTAGATGATGAAAATTTGAAAAAACACTACCTTAATCTTGAGTGTTACTTAAAGCATAATAATCAATCTGATATTGATGGTTTAGATTTATTTTCTGAATTAAAAGTGTTAAGAAAAATAGTACAATTAGAAGATAACGGTTTAATTGATATACTCAATCAAATAAAAAGTTTTGATTCTTTTCCAAATGCCTATATTACTTATAGAATAATGTTAACAACTCATGTTGCCGTTACTTCAATTGAGAAAGAATTATTAGAAAAAAAATTAATTATAAAAAAAAAAATTATTTAACTTTGCATCTTAAAAAACTAAAAAAATGGACTTCAAATTAAAAATATAATAATTTAAGAAAAAATTAAGCCCCTCGTCAAATATGGCTTTAGGCTACACACCCCTGTAGTTAGCAAGTATAATATAACAATTTTAGCTTAAATCAAGTAAAAGGATTCTTCTAAAGCATAATACAGATAAACAAAAACCATAAGATAACACTTGAAGAATTCACCAGGAGAAATCGAATAAGAAACAAAAGAAATATAACCTTTGCTAAATCGCGACCAAGCTTCTTTGCAGTCAAAGCCAGAGAATCCCTCTCTTTGGAAAGTTTCACCTTTTTTATTTCCAGAAAAGTATAGCAAAAAATATTAATTCCAGTTAAATGGAAATGAAAAGCAAAAGCTAGGGGAATAAAAGAATAGATTTTGTTTAATACATTATCTTGGAGAGTGATGTTCAATCGCAATTCGGCCGCGTGGCAGGCCTGCTCGAGCTGAGAGACCTTGTCTTCGAGGTCGAGGATCACGCGATCCTTGTCGTGAAGCTTTTGACGGAGCCTACCCATCTCAGACTCCAGATTTGTAACGCGAGAAGCGATTGCCATAGAGGTGATCTTCCGAGCTACATCCAATTGGTCATACGGGTCTGTCGGAATGACCGAAAGTATTTCATCGGGGAGGTGAAAGTCCGGCCCGCCACTCCGGCTGCTACTCCCCGACATATTCCGAATTCCAAACCCTAAATTTCTGAAATTGAACAGAAATCCTCTCCAAGGGTTTGGAATGGAGGAAATATTCGTAAGCTATGCACACGACGTTTGCTCCACGATGTTCTCTCCTTGTTTTTGTCTCTTTTACTTTTGTTTTCATTTTGCTTCTAAAAGGCCTGGGTTTGAAATTTTATTGGATTTCCCTCCAAAGTTGGGGGGTCCTTTTCTCTTTGGGTCCGTGTTGGGCCCAGGCCCCAGACTGGAGCTGAAAGACCTTTTCAGAGCATGCCTTTGTTAGGGAGAATGACACAGTTACCTACAAAAACAAAACTATTTATCCTTGTCTATTCATTTGTTTTTCTACTCATAAACTAATTATATTTTTTACCCATAGTAGTTTTTGTGGGAAACTTTTTCTTTATCCTCCAATTCTTTTTTATTTCTATGCTTCTTTTCTTCTTTTTTTCTTTTTTTTCTTTTCTCCTTTTCTTTTTTCTCGTTTTCTTCTTATTTTTTCTTTTTTCCTTTTCTAATTTTATTTAACTTTTTTTTTATATTCTTTTTCTCTTCATAATCTAATTTTCTTTACCGTTTTCACTATTTTTTATCATTCTTTTTTTATACAATAAGAAAAAATAATTGATATAGTAAATATTTGTTCACCTTTTTTAATATAACTAGTACAATATACCTTTTATTTTATTTTTTCTTTCTCATTTTTTAAATTTAATTATTAAACTGAAATAATATCAGTTGTCACTTGATCTAATTCACTGAATATCACATTGACTGCTGCTAAGCACTATAAATTACATAATCAGATTCTAAGAATCAACACATGATTGCATTCAAATCTTGATCTCCTTCCCTATAAATATCAGTACACACTCTACCATTAGCAGTAACACAATCAGTTATAGAGCAAGAAAACACAATCTACGGCAACCAAATCTCCATATATACTAGTTAGAATAAAAATGATAATAAAATATTAAAAAATGCAACAAAAGTATAAGTAGCAAAAAAGACTTCTAGTACCATGTGATACCAATATGGTATATATGTATACCAACAGAGCATATGATTTCTCTAGAATATTGCTACAACTATCTGCGACTATACTACTGTACCAAAACATTAAAGGACGCAATAAAAGTATGAGAAAATTACATGCTCGTATTGCAAGCTAAATATTCGCAAAACAACTTGCTCATTTCGTATACTAAGAGGGCATATAGTTGTATGTGGTCGTTCCAACAATTGCCTATAACTATAAAAACTATTACATAATACACATAATTTATGTCCATCGGCACACAAAAATTCCAGCATTGCAACTCATGTTCATATAAATAATTTCATAATACAATTCACTTAAAATGCAGCTAAAACAACCAAAACAATGTTCAAATTACCATATGATACCAATATGGCATATAACTATACCAACATGGTATACAGTTTTACTAGTTAATTCCCGACAACTATATGACTATACTACTATTACATAACACACATGCATAATGAGAAAAATAAAAAAAAAATAGTGTACCACATATTAATATAATAAGGTATTTCAAGATATTGTACTATATTACTATTATTAAAAGAAAATCAAATATTGTACCAATTAAATGCAGCTAATACAATCAAAAAATAATTCAACTAGCATATGATACCAATATAATATATAGTTATACTAATAGGGTATATAGTTGGAATGAATTGTATACTAAAATGGTATATTTGTATACTATTTGGGTATACAATACAAATTCGTCTTCTTCTCTGGTTCAACTATATTTCAACCCAAATTTCTAAAATATACTACAAAATCTCCACCAAATTGACTAAAACTTTAGCTACAACCTCCAATCAACTTTCCAAACAAACCCATACAGGATCGGATCAAAATAATTAAAAACTCAAACAAACCAAGTTATGAGTTTCAAGCTTCAAGGTCCTTCAATGGTGGATTTAAATTTATGTACAATAAATCTCCAAAAACCAGCATCAAAGGTACAATCTACACATCAAAGAACAATAACTAACGAATTTCAACAGTAAAACACTATAAAAAATCAGATCTGGCATTTTGAACTCATTCATATGGAGTTTCGAAAATTGATCTGTTCTTCCTATGAGGAAATGTGTAAGTTTTAAAACGTCACCGCGTTAGATTAAGAAAAATGGCTTAAAAGTGGTTAGCAAAATAGTATTAGTTTTATGGAAGCTTCCAAAAAATATTGTTTCTTGCTCAGCTTTTTTCTTCTTGTGAGTTCTTATTTTTCTTGGTATCTAAGACTTCGTCAATATACCTAGAAGAGTGACTGCCGAAGCAAAAACAAATACAGTTGTAAACTTTAAAAATTGGAGGAAGGTAAAATGAGGAAGAAGAAGAAGAGGAACATAATAAAGACGGGTAAATAGTTTGGGGCACATGGGTAGGAGTAGTTAATAGTTTGGGCCTGGGCATTAAAGGGTAAATAGTTTGGAACTAATGGGTATAAAGTGAGATTTTCTCTTTTTCTCATACTAAACTATTTTTAAGTAAATGTTATTTTATTTGAAACAGATAAAAAAAATATCACATAAAACGAAATAGAGAGAGCAATAATAACTCGTGTAGCTCTAGCCTAACCCCAATCTTCAAATCTACAATTAGTTTCATTTACATAATTTGAATTGAATTAGAGATAAAATTGAATCAATTGTGAGAGAAAATTCAATCAAATCACAAACTTAGCACATACTCCGTAAGACTTGCATTTAGATTTTGTCAAAAACAGTAGAATCCGTGTAACTCAACCCATGCTGCCACTTCAACTTGATTTCTTTTTCTTCTCTTTGTCAGTATTGTTAGTCTTAGTCAATCTATTTATAGCTTTCTAGAGAAGGGTAACAAAGTCCATTCATCTAAAATATGGCATGATGCGCTTAGAATTTAACTCTTCGATCCATCTATATCGCAGAAAAAGGCTAAAAGAGTAGATTCCTGGGTGAAGGAGAATGGTCGGTGTTTCAATTTCAGGTATACTCTGAAATACAATAACAACAACAACAACAACAACAACAACAAAAAATCCAGTGTTGGGGTCTGGGAGGGTAGTGTGTACGCAGAGGTAAAGAGGTTGTTTCCGATAGACCCTCGGCTCAAGGAACAGTGAAAATAAAGTAACAAATAGTAGCAACAACAATATAGTAGGAACAAATGGCACAACATGTAATATAAAGAACCAGGAATAAGAAAAAAATACAAATATAGTACTAGTACTACTGATAAGACTAAGAGACTAATGACTACCGTCAATCTTACACCCTAATTCTTGACGAGTATACTCTGAACTAAAGAGCTAAAATGGAGAGAGCTTATTACCCAAAGCTGTCTGCAGATATTATTAGTAAATTTAACGGGAACATTATCATTCATGATTCATTAACAATACAAATAAAAAGATACAACATAACCCCCAAGAAATAAAAAATAAAAGAAAAGGTATGTTCCTCTTCCTATTGCTGACCTTTGATCTATCGGTAGCCATGAAATAGGAAAGAGAGCATTATGACGATCTTACAATTCATTCATTCAGCAGAATCATGCATCCAAAGATGTAAATCTACATTCGCGCCGCCAAAGGAGACTGTACAGCCAGCAGCATGGACACCAGTCTTCAGACATAGGTAACCAATCAAAATAGCACTATAGAGTCGAAGTAACACTGCCAGAAAACACGAATCTCACTCTGGCCAGCGATTACCTCATTCTGTTGCTCAATCACCTCATATAAGACGTACATTGTTTCTGTGCTCACAGAAAAAGCAACTATCAACATGACCTGGAGCTTTCAATTAGTGGCTCGAGGAATAGAGCCTACCAGAGACTTCCACACATGATGCTGAATGAAACAAGTTACCATCATCCTAATCCGAATAGACTTTCAGCTCTCTTCGTATGAAACAATAAAGAATGCTGTCGCCCAATTTATGCAACTTGCATTAAATATTTTTTCATTTTACTTAACAGCTCGCACACCAATAGTCTTGACACGGAATCTAAATTGTGGCTGAGAATCCTCCTCGTCGTCATCGTCATCATCGTCATCTTCACTAGACTCATCTTCCACCCTGTCCCATCTAGAGTAGTCCAGCCGTGAATGTCCCTTTGGCTGTGGGATTGCTTCCCAGCTAGTGGACTGTTGTTCAGATGATTTTTCAGCTGTCTCAACATCACCAACTTCAGTTGTCAGTTCGACAGTTCCAGACTCAGCTTCTCCTGTGGTTGCTTCCATGACATCTCTGTCGTCTTTCCTTAAATCACCTTCATTGGTTTCTTTAATAGTACATTGTTCTTCCTCATCTTCATTCTCATCTTCTTCAAGCTCTACTTCAGCTTCAGGTATTGGAGCAAGTGACTTTCCTTGAACGAAAGAAGAAACGTCTCAAATTACAATCTGTAAAAAGGGACAGATGGCAAGGAAAACAATCTTGTATACCTTGAACTCTTTTGGCCCGGAACAAAGAATCATGAAACCATTACTCTATATGAGCACTTAAACTAGACTCTATGGTGACTCAATTTACGAATAGCTGTATGAAAACCAGGATATAATGATAGTCCATTCATTTGCTTGACTAACTTATGCCCCAACTCTGTCTTAATTTAGTGGTTGATTACCCCAAAGATAGCAAGGACGAATGCTTTAATTATGACATTTTGTTAAAGTAAATGAAAACAAACAAATATATTGTTGAAAACACACGGGCTAATATACAGTTAAGCCGTATGCAGAGAGATAGATGGGAGCTGGTAAAAAAGTTAAAACAAATATAAAAAGGAAACGCAACAAAAAAGCAAAATGACTACCAGTTGTGTCTTCAAACGGGCATGAAGATTTTGATACATTTCTGATGATGGATTCAATTCAATCAGCCTATTGACATCGAAAAGTGCTGAATGGTACTCCTTGAGGGTGACTAAGGTTTGAGCGCGCAACATCAGCGCACCTGTGTGTTTTTGATCTAGTTCAAGCACCAACGTACATTCATCCGCTGCCTGCAGCACAAGGCAACACCCAACAATAGGATTAAAACAAGCACTGAAGAGAGATAATGCTAATCCTCCCTATTTTATCTTTCTAATAGCACCAAGCAGAAAATAGAGTATAC